CCCTCGCCGCCTCCGCCACTGCCGCCCCAGGCCAGCACCGCCGCACGATGGACAGACCTTGTGCCGCCTCCACACTGCCAACGATGTCCCCGATTCACCGGGACCCTCAACAAGGGTGAGTGACAGTTTGCTCGCTTCGTCTTCGTGTTCTCCAAATCTTCACTGAGTGGTATCTATATTAACCACATTCCTTAACATTCACTAACTCTGCCATCTTGTCCTTAATCAATTTATTGACTTTACATGATTTTCAGATCAAAAAATCGATTATTTCCCTAAATAGCATTAAAAGTAAAACGAGGCATGTGAATGAGATGCTTTGGGGTAATAACTTAATTTTTAAACGTAATTTAGATTAAATTCGGGCTTCAGAGGGGCAGGACAAGTCGACTGCCAACAGAATAGACAGGCATACGCGTGTGTGAGAAGCGCCGTGCACTCCGGCAACTTGTCGTGCACGAATGCAGTGCAGTTAGCCTAACCGTATCTCGCGTGTAAGATCTGAAGTTTCACACGGAGGTGAACGCGTTGGTTGAGGTTTTGTAGGTTATGACGAAAGCTGAAGATAAAGCAGGACGTTCCTCCGAAACGGTTGTGGTCACCTGCAATTCTACACCAGTCACGCCTAGAAGTTTCGACTTTCCGTGGTTAAAAGCAGATTCTGGTTTGAAGGAATTTACGTTGTAACTTGCGTCATTCTTGTCCTATCCGGACCGTGAATTAGATTTGCTATCCGTCTCCATCTCCGGCTTTTCCACCTGAGAGTTTAACTCGGAAGTTGCCTTGTTATTTAGTTTGGTTGTTGCCCTGACAATGGCTTTGTGTCGCCTAGCAGCCAAGTTTTGACGAAATATATCAGTCACACTCTGCGCTACTCATGGATGACCGAAAATTGGGAACACGGACTTCAGGAATTTGGAAGAATTTTAGTAATCCACCGTTGTTTTAATTCATATACCACTCCCAGAATTTTTTGAGCTGGTTTTTCTTTTGGGGGGTGGGGCGTGGTGTCTACTATTGGCTCGTTTCGGCTTGGTTTATACAACGTGACGAATAAGTAGGTCACAGGTCAAAAACATTCTGCGAGACGGTGTTCTCTCCTTTGTAACACATTCACACTGTCCATACTCCGTCTACAAAGGGAAATGATCTTTTGGATGGTAGTAGACAACGGAGCATGCGCACGGCGCGTCATAAATCCTTTCTTCCGCCCCCCCCC